CGCTGAAGAATGGAACTTACCCTGTTGGCTTAAGAAATGAGCTCCCACAGATAGCAGAAACCAAAGAAACCCCAATTTTCAAGCTCTCATACACTAAGAAGCATGGACACCCCAAGTCTGGGGAGAAATCGGGCGGACACTCCACGCCGGGCAGGCAAATGCTTGACCGGATTCAAGCCTCCGATGGACCGGAAAAAAATCGAATTTTTCTGGGGCAGGGAGAATCGGGCGAACTTTTTTCTGCAGAAGAGAGGGGAGAAGCTCAAAATTCGATTCGCAGAATGCTCAGATCTGTTCGGGAATTTGGTGTGGGAGGCTTGGGAGCGGTTTTCGAATTCCTAGTCTGCAGGCCGGGCTCTTTTTGGGCTCGGGTCTGACCCGACCCATTAAAACACGATTTCGGGCTCTATTGGTATTTGTGGGCTTTGAGCTGGCTGAAATTCCTTCCCACGGGCTGGGATAAAGGAAGTTTCCGGACCAAGCCCAATGAACACTAACTCAAAGCAGCCGGGAATGAGTACCTATCCCTTACGGGAATCGAACCTGTGACTTCGACTTGAAGAAACGATGTCATAACCACCGGACGAAAGGGACCAATAATCAGTCGAATGAATGTGTAACCATTCGTTTCACTATGTTACACTTCGCAAACAATGTTACACTTCGCATAGGTAACATAGTTACACTCATTTGAAACGAATAAGAGTTCCATTCATATATACCAGTCGAATGAATGCGTACCACTGAATGAGTTGAAAACCGGCCTACATTTATAGAGTACTTTTTATTAATCAATTAGAATGTTCTTTAAAAATACGAAAGGTAATGACTTTTTTGTGCCGCTTTCAAAGCCATCACTTAAATGCTCTCTTTGTCGCAAAAAGATTAGACTCTACACTATTTAAAAGTTACGCAAACTTTTATTTATTTCTGCATTTTGATTGATTGTTTAATAAAATAAATTATTCTTCCCATCTCTTGTTTTGGGGATTTTTTGCCATATTTTTTAAAACATGAGTAAGTTTTATTTTTAATTTATTGATCCCATGTAGGATGGAGTATGAACCAATTGATTGAGAAATAAGACACTTGGACTGAACCACATTAAAAGATTGAATCCAATGAATTAGTTAGTTCTACTCAAGAGCTTATATACTAATTATTTTACTCTAGAACTTCTAATGTAGGATGCACTTTAACATTTATATATCAATTTTTAAACAAAATGAATTTAAAAGTTTGAAATTTCGATTCATTTTGCATAAAGTGTAAAATATTTCAGGACGAGTGGAGCATATGTTTTCAATCTTATAATTTCAACTTTTTAGACGCATGGATGAGGCTCAAACACTGAATGTAGAAAAGCTTGGAATACTTTCCTTGCCACTATGCAAGAACCCTTCCACTAAAGGAATGTTCATTTGGGTTGGAAAAGTAACTTCTAATGTTTTTTACGGAGTATATTTTTAAGCGCATGAATGACGCTTGAACACTAGATATGGAAAAGCTTAAAATAATTTTCTTGCCGCTACGCCAGCATGCTTCCACAAGAGCATGTTCTTTTTGGTTGAAAAAATAACTTTTAATTTTTTCCAACTCTTATAGTTTCTTCCAATTTTTTAAGCGCATGAATGAGGCTCGAGCACTAAATGTGGAAAAGCCTACAGTGGTTTCCTTGTCGCTATGCCAATATGCTTCCACTAAGGGCATGTTCTTTTGAATTGAAAATTTTAACTTTTAATTTTTTCCAATTTCTTATAGTTTCTTCCAAAAACGATTTAAAAAGATTTTTTTTTGAAACAAAGCAATTAAATTAGAAAACCAAGGCAATTAAAAAGATATTTAATATATAATGAATTCTCTCTCCGTTCTCCAAATCACTTTTTCTTCAAAATTTTTACTTCCAACAAAACACTTCCATTTTCTATTAAAAAAATTACTTTTACTCTGACTTTTTTATACCTTACCTATCACATCATACTTTTTCTTTAATAATCTATGTATCACATCTTACTTTACCCATCACGTCAAGGGCAAAATTGGAAGTCAACTACAATTTAACAATTTATTTTTACATTTGGTCAAAAATTGAACTTTTTTTGAGAACGTGGGGAGTATATCATAACGTCATATATCTAAATTTATAACACATCACTTCAAACACTGACAAATATGAAATATTTTTATCTAAAATTACTTTTCTTACATATTCATTTAGGTAATCAATTAAATTAAATTCTTTTTGCACTTTAATTTTTCTAACATTCTCCAGCTCATTCAATTATTTTCCAAATTCTTTCAGTTATTTTCCAACTCTTTCTAGTTTCTCACAACATCTACTCCCTAAATTTTAAACTTACAACAGGACAGAGGGCCTTTTTTACTCCACGTTTTTTTACTGGCTAGTGTTCTTTCACAATTCAGAACAGGCAAGGGCCTTTTTTTAGAAAGTGACCCTACAAAGATACCGAATCCTAGCTAGCTAGCTCTCTTCAAAAAAAGAACAGTAAAAAACATTGAAGAATCAAGTCAAACATAGGGGAGTTCACAGATCTTTTACTCAATTATCACCCAACAGCTCAGTGGTTGCAGAAAAAAGCTAGCTACCCCAGTTATTACCCTGCAGTAATAATTGACCAAATCAGGAAAACACAACTGAAAACCCCAATTCAACCCAGGACCATGCTACACTTACACCAACAAATATACCCCATTTGTACACCACAGGTTTGCACAAACGTTTCAATAGTTTACACCGACACAAGTGTTGGTGCGTTAATAAAAATTCACACGGACACAAATGTCGGTGCGTTTAACAAAAATTAGTTTTACACTAACACAAAATGTTGGTGCAAAACTGCGGGGTACAAATTGGGGTACAAATCTTGGAGTACACATAGCATAATCCTTCAACCCAACATTGATCAGCTGCAAAAACAGCTTACGAAAACTTAAGGACATGTCGGTAAAGAGTACACTGTTAGACGCCTCGCACACCTCTAGAGGGGGGTGAATAGAGGTGTTGCCCAAAAGACCAGTTTTTTTGCGCGGAAACGTTCTTCACGAATATTCAATAAAATCAATGCACCACAAACAAAGTAAAGTGAAGGATAAGAGCAATGCACACACGATATATACTGGTTCGGCCTAAATGCCTACATCCAGTCCCCGAAGCAATCGTGCCCAGGCCTTCACTAACCCGTCAAACTTAACGGAGTTTGACAATCCGAATACAACTCGAGAACTTGATTTCACAAGCCTCTTATCTTACCACCGAAGTTTTGATTTCACAAAACTCAGGATTTCTTCCACCTAACGTTTGATTTCACAAACCGTTAGGATTTCTACCACTTGGTGTAATCCCAACACCAAGAATACAAATCCCTTACAATAAAGTAAGAAAACAAACCGCAACCGAGTAATTCTCCCAACACGGAGTAGATTGTTGCAAATACAATGAAGTCCTTTAGAATATGGCAATATCTCTCAAAGACTCAAGCAATGAGGAAAAACTTAAGCAAGAAATGATTTAGCAATCAAAACAATTGCCTTGCTTGGATATATGGAGGGGATTGAGTAGAATCTCTTTGAATATTCAAAGGATATGTTTTTCAAAGTGTTCTAAGTGTTCTCATCAAGATAATCACGAAGAGGGTTGTTTATAGAAGTTAGGGAGTGGATAGAGATGAAAAGAGTTCAAAAAACTAGCCGTTTGGTAGTTGAAACTGTCGACTTATTCGAATAACTCAAGAAGTATTCGAATAGTTTGGATCAATCGCGTGGCTTGAAAAAACCAGTTCCTATTCGAATAAATGGTGATTTATTCGAATAAATCAGGCTGAAAAACCAGGACTTATTCGAATAAATGGTGGTTTATTCGAATAAAACAGGTTAATTTCAGTCACAGGAAAGATCACGACTTATTCGAATAAACTAAAGATTATTCGAATAGAAAGGCAACTTCCCCACACAAAGGCTGATCTAAAATGTGTTTTAAAGGTAGGATGATAAGGGAATGAACCTTAGAGATGCCATACTCTTTAACACATAATCTAAGACCTAAAACACTACCCAACTAAGGAAACAACCTCTTCGGTCTCATTCCTTCCACCGATGCTCAAGTCCCTTCTTCACGGACGAATATGAACTTGTTGTAGCTTTGATTCTTAGCCTTGATGCACAATATGATGATGATGTTTTGTCACCCTTTTGTCATTATCAAAACCTAAAAGACAATGGGCAAAGGACATTGCAAAAATATATATTCATGATAGCACATTGTCCAACATACACTAGTTGCAAGAAATCTAGTCTTGCGTTTCATACCATTCTTTTTTCTTCATTTTGTTTCAAAATTATTTTTTCATTGTTTTTTAGTAAAGTGCCAAAATGATCGTTTGTAATAATATATTTTTCCAATTGAGTCCTTTATAATCTTTTATAATTGAGACTTATTCCTCAATTAATTTTTTCGCAAATATTATTATTCAAATGATGATTAATCAAAGGATATTTTGATATTTCTATCATCTAAATTTAGAGTATATTTTTTAAATGATTATTCCTATACAATTAGATCTAAAATAAAAAAAATTGACTATACATAATCTATAAATTATTAAAAACCTATTTAAAAAATTAAAGTTCAAATCAAATACACATTTTTAAATTTAAAATACCATTTTAAGAAAATATTTCATTAGAAATGATCATTTTAAAAACTCATTTTAAATTTAGCTGATAATAAATACGGAGTACTAAAATACTCTCAATTAATCATCATTTGAGTAATATTATTTACAAAGAATTATCTTGGAAAAAAAATTTCAATTATAGAAAATTAAAATTTATTGGGGATTAATTTGGAAAAATACGCTTTATTAGAATTTCCTCTTTTTTTAAATTGTTCTTGATTTCCATTGGTCATTGCATTGGAGTAGCTAACTAAAGAAAAAAGGAGAGATATATTAAGGGCGCGTTTGGATCAACATGTTGTTGAGTCCATTCCCATAGTTTTTTTCAAGTGTAAAAAAGAAGAAGAAGAGATTATTTACAAATGGAACAAACTCTAATGTGTCAAATGGACTTTTATAGAGCAACACAACAACATACAAAAAAGGGGGGGGGGGGGGGCNNNGCTGGCTTGGAATATACACAAACAGACTAGAAGAGGACTGTGACAGATCTTCAAGAATATGACCTGACCAAACCGAAATTGCAAAAGGATCTTGATTTGAAGAGGCCGCCGAAGAGGAACCTGGTCGCCGGCGATTCTTGAGTTGCTGCCGCCGGACTAACGCCGCCGGAGTTTCCCTTCACCCGGAGAATCGTCTGCCCTATGGTCTGCCTCACAGACTCCACAATCTTGGGGTCCACAGGGTACCCCGAGGCATCCCGCACGTAAAACGTGTTAAACGCTTTCCCGCCCCTCGTCTTCACCTCGGCCCTCGTCACCGAGAGACTGTTCTCGCGGAAGATTCTAGTCACATCCGAGAGCAGGCCCGTCCTGTCCGTCGTGCAAAGCTCTAGCTTCAATCCCTGCTAGATTTGAAAGAAAAAGTAAGGAGTAAAAGTAGTTTTTTAATAGATAAGGGAAGTAGTTTGTAAGTTGTCTGTTTACAATTTATCAATAACTTTGAATGTAGACACATCGTATGCCTACATTCATTCATTCTTCAATGGATGAAGAAAGCGTTAATAGACAGGTAATATGGAATCACAATTCTACAATAAGTAAAATATGGGTCTAAGGCGAAAGTATTTTCCGGGTTCCAAACGGACCGTTCCACTGACCTCGGACACCCGTCTTAGTATGGCTGCCTCAAGACATTGAATTACCCTTTGTCTTTCTGCTTCAGATTTCACAGGGGATCCATCCACATGCCTTATGCAGTACTCCTTCATGCCAAACCAAAGCAAATTAGTCCAAATCTTTCTGTAAAGTTTTAAATTGACTGATCAGTTGCATTCAATCTTTTAATGTGATTTGATTTACGATAAGGTACCTGACGAGCTTCGGCTCCAATGGTATCCACTGAGCCGTGGAAAACGACGTACTGCATGTCAGTGAGGGTGCAGATTATGTCAAAGAGAAGCTTCGGTCGGTCCTTACAATGGACGGTCACGACCGAATAGTCCTTGTCGTGCCAATTGACCACACTCACGTTGGGCCGATCTTGACCGCTACCCGAATCATCCGATGACCGTTCGTAGTCCCGGTCAGCAAACATCAGCTGGTGAAGCCTCCTGTCCGCGTGGGTGACCCCGTGAGCGACATGTGTCTTTGCGTCCCTACTCCTGTTGCTCCCCTTCAGCACATTGCACAAGAGCTTCTTGATAACGGACAGCCTCTCCGGGTCACTCACGGGCCCGCCCGAGTCCTTGTCGGTCACTTGCATTATGGCCGCGGCTCGCGTGTTGTGGGTCCACACCTCGGCGTTGACCACGTTGCACTCTAGATTGGTGAGGACTGCGCTGACCTCAGAGAGCAGACCCGGCCTGTCATTTCCTATTAACTCGATCGACGTGTGGTCCATTGCAGGCGTTACTCCAACAGATCTTCTCATTGAAGAAGCAAAGTAGGAATCTGGCCCAAGAGACTATAGAATGACAAGTAATTATTACTACTACTATTACTACTACTAAACAGACAACAAAAATAACATATTGCAGCAGTTGCACAAGAAGATTCAGCAACTAACCTTTCTGATATAATCTAACACTGCTTCATCTGTAATCTTGTTCCCCTCTTGATTTGTGACATTGAAGACTAGATAAATGAAGATAAATGACTAAGAATGATAAGCTACCATTTGAACAGGGGAAAAGAAGATTTCAACAGGAAATATATGAAGAAAAATGAGATGAAATATGTTACCATCCATGAACCATCCACCATCAGAGCAAATGTATGCCTTTGTTATGAGAAGGTTAAGATCTGTGAGGATTTGAACCACTTGCAGGAGTATGCCATGTTTGTTGGCACTATCCACCTAACAGTAGAAATAAAAAGACCATTGGAACCTTAGTGATTTATTAAGAGGAAAAACATTAGATCAAGGAGTAAAACTACTGTTTTGCTCTTAGATCTAAAACTAAACCACTAAAGCAGCAAAGAACCAAGAGAAGGTAAACACTGACCTGTATGACAGTGGCATTTTTGCAGGTTTCATTATCAATTACCACTCTGACAAAAAAGGGCAAAACAGTGGGATTTAATGGCTTTTGGAAGAAGATGATTTAAGTAAACACTATCCTGAGATAAAAAAATAAGAGTGGAGTATTACCTTGGTGGATTCATTCTTCTGATGAGTTTTTCATATTCATCATCCATGTTCTGTGAATAGCTCATAATACCCTCTGAATTTTTTTTAAAGGGGGAAAAAAGGAATCATCACCAGAAGTATCAATCACAGATAAGACAGTTTCCAAGGAGTGTGGAGAAAGCAATTAAGAAGAGAGTAAATTATAAGGCGGCTAATCATGAGAAAAAAAAAACTTGATCAGCAGAAGCAGAACCACACACATGTATATATCAAAGAAGGTCAAACAAGAAACCTAAGACAACCCCCACACATAAAAGAGGGGTGTTTGGATGGTGGGTCGCTCTGCTGCCTCTCTGTGTCGGAATTGGGAAATCAATCCATTGAAAAACTCACCAAGAATGACATAAACAGCATAAAACACAGATTTTTTTAAAAAGTTTCTATCTTTGTTGGAAATAGTAACAATCAAGATTCCATCAAAACTCTTCAATCCAATAACAACTCAAAAGAAACTCATGAGTTATTCTTAATTTTCACATAATCAACAGAACCCAAACTATTAAAAAACGAATCTTGACCACCCATCACTCCAAAAACCCCAAAAAACCCAAGACCTAAGTATTCAAGAACGGGGAAATGAGAAACAGAGAGCAGAAACAGGGACATACCCATAGTAAATCTCGACGAGTTTGACAAAGGGGAAGAAAGAGTTCGTTGATTCTCCAAGCCAACGCGAAAAAAAGGAGACAACTTTTGGATTACCAGAGAGTCTTCAGAAGACCATATGGGGAAGACTGCAAATCTTGGACAAACTCTCCCCTCCCACGCCCTCTTTATATAATATGGTGTGTAAATTTATGGAATTTAGATTATTCTATTGCCTGTTATGCAGCAAGCAAGAGATAATCATGTGCTCAAAACCTGCAACTTTTCATATTACTGCCATAAATACATACATAGAGTACTCCGTATGTATATATATATCTATGTGCGTGTAAAGATACACATAACTCAGATAGACCCTTTCCTGCTCTGTCTTGCTCTTTATGAACCAATACACTATACGGAGTATTTTTTAGGGTAATTGTTTTTTTACTGTAATATTGAAGACTTCTAATTACAGTTTATACTCCGTAGTTTATACCGATATTATTAGCCGGATTACTTTCCTCAGCTAAGGCGCTTGGAGAAAAAAGGGTATGTAAGGGGGTGGGGGGAGGGTTGGGTTTCTGAAAATTATGTGATTCTAACAATATTCTTCTCATTTGTTTTTTCTTAGTCAAAGTTTATAAATATTGATCTCGATGTGTAAAAAAAATACATTGCATTATGATATTAGTTTAATATTGACATATTCATATTGAAACAATTTTTATTAAATATATCAACATATAAATAAAGATATTAATGGTCAAAATACAATCTTAAAAATCGTGAAAAGTTAATTGGGAAGTTCCTGGAGGGAGGAAATACTATATTATAATTGAGTCAATATCATTAAAAATTAATAATGATCTGATCGAACTTGATTTTCATCAACGTAACTTTATTTTGATCTGATCTAAATAAAGTGATTCTAATTAAAGTTGAAGCTATACAACGATACTATTCTGATCTAATCTCATTCTAGTTAAAGTAAAAGTCATTTCTAATCTGATATGAATTTTTTATCTAACATTTTTTAAATCACAACATATTTAATCTTGATTCTAATAAAAGAAAGTATACCGTAAGTTATAAAAAATAAGTTGAAAAGAATAAGCTTTTAATCCAGTCGAACTAGGTGGGCCAAAGACAATGGGTAGGGTAAAATGAGTTGGTACTAATTATTAGGGGGCCAAATAACACCAGCACCCCTCGTGATTTGGAAAATAAATACCAATACCCGTCATGTTTTCAAAACTTATTTCTAAGGTCGCCATGTTTCAAAGTGTTGTACTCACACTCCCTCTGATCATTTTCTGGCCATTTTTCTGGAAAAAAAGGGGGCACTGTTATCCAAACCATATGTATCACTCGTGCTCATTTCTTATTTTTAGTTCATTTTTTGTTCCCCCTATTTTCCTATATTTGTTTTTTTATTAATCAAGATTTTTATTTTTTTAAATTGTTTTTATAATATTCTTAAAATTTAAAATTGTTTTTGTTTGAAAAAAACAATTTACATAGCAATTGCATATCTCCAAATAATAATTTTTGTTTTTTCTGAAAAAAAGTAAAAACTTTTTTTGAGAACTTCGAAAAATGAAGAATAAAATAAGAACTAAAATAAAATATTAAAAAAATTGAAAAGAAATTTAAAAAAGGGAAAGGAACTAAAGAGATAAAAAAGAGTTAAAAAGGGAAAAAATACAAATAATAAACAAAAAAAATAAGAAATAAGCACTGATGTCTCATATGGTTCAGAAAATACTCATCAATGCCTCTCTTTGCCAGAAAATAGGAGGAACTTAAAAATAAGTTTTGAAATATATAGTGCCAATTTTCCAAATGACAGGATGGGAGCTAGGGACTTACAAAATCAAATGAGTATACAATTTGAAAACTTTGAAAAGAAAACTCTCTACGTCTTTGATGGAACTTTTATTTTTTTTATTACTAATAAAAAAAAGTGTCCCTTCAAAAAAACATACTCCGTATTTTAGAGAAAACTTGTGCTTGTTATTTTTGTTGTCTTTGTATTCTATATAAAAAAGTTAGTTTACAATATTTTTCTTTCACCTGCTACGTAGATAAAAATTTATATTATGTTACTACGTATTTGTTTTTTTTTCTTCTCAAACTACATGGGATATGTCTACATAAAAAACAAGCTAATTTTTTTTAGAGATAGAATTTAAACTTGAGTAGAAGGAACTACATGGGATATGTCTACATCTTGATCAGTCGAAGGAAAAAATTTAAAATTAATTACACTGTCCAAGTGTCCAATTATTTTGGTCTAACTAAATATTTGTAGAGGTCGGTAAACTGAATTATCTCTGTATGCATATATTAATCCATCATTTTATTTAAGTTTAAATAAATAAATTCTACAGATATCATGTGATGACCCGGAGGCAATCATTTTATGGAAACCCCTCCGGTTAGCGGGTGGTCTGTAATGTCATGTGATGACCCGGAGGCACTGTAACATTGACAGTTCTTGCCCCTCCTAACCTTTCGGTTAGCCCAACCCCACCCCACTCCGCCCCGATACGATCACACTCTCCCACCCCCTCATCCCCACACTCCCTTCAATTGCACTTTCAAGTTAATTTTGACTTTGGACTCTGAAAATGAAAATAAAAAAATCAAAAAATAGGAAGATTAGATTGGGATGTAAGGAGTAATTGGGAAGGCGAGGAATGTAGGGTGGCCGACAAACATTGGGTACGCCGTACGAGAGCCCTGACAAGCGCTGGAAAGGTAACATGCATTAGATTACGTTCGTTGGTGCATACACATACATAACATATACGGAGTACATATATATAGTTATATACTCCGTATATATGCCACCCTTCCGAACCTGCAGCTTCGGCACATGCAACTAAGTAATGCGGACGTAGTATTTAAAAAGAATACGAACGCTAACGCCCGCACCGGACTGTAGGCGCCCATTTTCAATGAAAGAGGAGATGCCGCAGGAGGTGTCCGGTGCCGCAGGCCGAACGCCGCAGAACGTGTTTGGTGCCGCAGACCGGCCAGCAGACGCCGCGCGGAGGGCGTGGGGGACAGCTTGCGGCGGGCATTATTGTAACGCTAATCTCTAACGTTATTCTCAAACATACCCTCAATGTATTTCTTCCAATACTATAATTATTGTATTTTTTTTATACTTTAACCAAGCAAAATTAGACATAAAATTCATACTTCAAAGTATAGATGCATAAAATTGATGTCAAATTACACTTTTTGTCTTCAAATTAACAACAGGACATAAGGTTAAAAAAGATTATTTGTGGAATGATACCCAAAAAAGGACTCTAAGTGTAAATTTTAAAATATTTGACTAAATATAGAAAACCACATGTTTTAAAGAACCAACTACGGAATTACTCAAAAAATAAGTCAAATTTGACAATTTGGAGTATGTTTAGCATCTTTCAATTTAAGTTCATATAGAATTTTGAAATGGATTTTATATTTAATTCTATATGTCTGTACTTCCTCCGATTCGTTTCAAAAAACATTTTTTACTTTGACTTTTAGAAAGTGAAATTATAGACGTTTGATCAACAATAAATGAAGAAATTTGGGAAATGGCATAGAAGAAACTTGGGATAGATTATGTTAGATATAGAAGAAACAAGGCCATTTATATCCATTTAAGGTTAAAATGAGATTTCTTTGGACAAAATTGAAAAACGAAAGAGGAATTTTTTAGTGAAGATGATACTCTCTCTATTTGCCAAAACAGTTTCTGTTTTTATTTTTACATGATTCATTTTTGTAATTTGAGTCTCCAATTAAATCATTAATGTTAAAAAGAGGGTCAATTAAAAAAAATTGTTATATAAATGTAAAATGGATAGATTATATTGCAATGACTTTATTTATTTGAATACATTAGTAACTTTAATAAAAAAAGAAATGTTTTGGTAAAAACAAAAAAAAATAAAAGAGAAAAGATTTTAGTTTGACGGATTTATTTATCTAAATTTGGTCGTACAACTGTATGAGTACAAAAAACATATCCTGCTAAGAAATACTCATTTGACCGATGAATAGAAGAAATAGATTTGAATAATTATGGATGTGCAGTGCATGCATGCTGGTATATATACTCCGTATTATGTAGTACTACCTCGTCCATCAGTGTTTGTCCACTTTTATTTTTGCACACCATCCAATGCACTTCTTTAATCAATTTTATCTTGTAATTAGTATATTAAAAAATTATAAAAATTATATATTAATAATCTATATGTTAAGACGAATGAAACAAGATCACACATGACTATTTTTAGGCTTACACATTGAGAGAATTTGATAAGTCAAAGTGCTTAGATGAACAGTTCCAAAAGTCAAAAGTGACAAACACTCAGGGACGGACCTAGTATTAGTTAATTATCCAAATCTTTTAATAAATCCAAATCAATGTTGACAAACATCTACCTAATTTTACAGGGATGTTATATATAGTTCAAACTGTTATTTGAATGCATTATTTAAAAAAACCCATTTATTCAATGATGGTATAGTTCAAATTGTTAATGTTCAATGGATTAAGCTATGTGTACCCCAACATTTATACTCCAATTTGTACCACGTAGTTTTGCACCAACATTTTGTGTTAGTGTAAAACTAATTTTTGTTAACGCACCAACATTTGTGTCCGTGTAAATTTTTGTTAACGCACCAACACTTGTGTCGGTGTAAACCATCAAAATGTTTGTGCAAAACTGTGGTGTACAAGTGGGGTACATTTTTTGGTGTAAGTGTAGCATGGTCCATGTTCAATATCTTACTTTTGAGTTTTGACTTGGCACAATTTCTAACGAAGTGTAATATATTTGATTATAATTAGTGTAGATGCATGAAGGAGAAAAAAATAGAGGGGTTTATAATGATATGAGATGAAAAATATCTATATAAATAAAACTATGGGATGAAAAATATCTATATAAAAATTGAAGGATCGGAGCGAGAGGGATTTATAATGATATGAGTTTTGAAATAAACGCAATACTCCGTATCATAGAATGTCTAAGCGAACAAAACACCCATTATTGGTGTCAAAGTAACTTCGAGAATGCAATTAAGTAAAAGTGGATCGATCGTTGATAAGTGGAATATTTAAATTAATTGCAATTACTAGATGATCCTTGAGTCTATACTTATTTTACAAACCTTAGTTTTAAATATTACTCTCTACATACCATGAAAAATTATTATTTTTTTGTATAAAAAAAGATCACTTGTCAGCTTATGAAAAATACGAGAAATATTTTACGTGT